ATCTTAATATTAAAGACATTTGTTCTTGGTGGCTAGTGTCTGGAGTACAATCAAGTATCACTGAAAAGTACTTTGCTTCTTTAATTTTCCGTATGATTTCAGACTTAATTTGAGAGGCAAGCAAAAGTATCAATTCATTTTGAATAGCATGACCAAGATAATGAAAATAAATCTCATCATTTGTGATACGCCAAACATGCTCTTGAATTACAGGATCAAACTCGGCTAGCATTTCAATTAAGCCTAAAAAGTTTCCATTATTGGCTTCACACAACCTCCCATTACTACATCGGAAAGCTAAATTATGTTTTGCCAAAAACTTGACAATCGAAATAATTCTCAACAACACATTGTTCCAGTGATCCCTTTCCTTTTTAATTAATTCTTGGGTCGTCTTGTCAATTGTTTGATTATGTTTAAGCCTCCATCGCAACTCATACCAAGTGGCCATATTTTTAATATGCTCAGCACTTATTTCATGCTCTCTAATCCTGATTGAAAGATGTGCCCAATCATTAAAACCTTCTAATGCTAGTTGCCCTCTCCTTGAAGAACCTTTATAAAACACTTTACAACAAAAGCAAAAGATTCTATCAAGTTCCCTTGAATATACAAGCCAATCTCGATCACATTTTTCTCCATTTGATAAAACTCTTGTATAATATGAGCAAGAAAAACATTTGTTATATTTATCTCTCGGATAATTCTCAATAGACATGTCTCTTTTCAAACCTTTCTCAACTAAAATATCAATCATGTTTGGACTTAGAGCATCCCAATTTCTAGGATCAAATATATCGATTTGAAAAGTTTCTCCGATTTTAGATTGTTCATGATTTTCAGTATCACTCGGAGTGGGATCACTATTATTCTCATCGCCATCCCTAACAACATCCTTATCTGATAGATCGTCAATTTCTTTGTCATTCTCAATAGGCAAATCACCATCTAAGTTCACGCTAGAGTTTACAATAGCACTTCCACTAGCACTAGAGTTTTTTTATCATAAATCTATCTAGAGCTCCTCTTTGAGACTCGGTTACCGCATCCAATCTCTTTTTTTCTTTCGTTTCTCGCACCCCGATTCATACTTTCTAATTCTTGAAGACATGAACAATAAGTAGATGTTTCAAGCGAGAACAATATCACCTGGATTCAAGCAAAGTTTGGTAGTTTTTATGTATGAATGATCCGGCTATAAAACTTTAAATGAGAGACTGCTTGTTGAAATCGCCTAACCAACCAACCAACCTGAAAAAAGGGAAAATATGCAATTAAATATCAAACTCAAATTCAGAAATCTGAAATTATAAATTATATCATGAAATTAACAATACAAAATCCCAAATTCAGAAATCTTATTCATAAATCATAAATTATTAAACTCATAACTATTTAGTATTTAACTATTATTCTATTAACTATTAACTAATATGATAGTATAATATAAATATATAATAAGTTAATAAATAATACTATAATCAAATAAATCAATTAATCATTGATCAAGTTTCAAACTGTAATCAATAATATCTATAATCAAATAAATCAAATAAATAATAAATTAATAACTATAAATCTATAAACAAATAAATTAATTAATCGTACAAACCTCAAACTTCTCAAAGTGGAGAAGTCAGAACTCAAACCTCAAAGAGAAGGTTTATGTGCAGCCTGTGCTTTGCGGTCTAAGAGAAGGAAGCAACGGCTGTAGTGTCTAAGTGTCTTGCGTGAGTTGCGTCGTTTCCGACTTCCAAGAAGACTTAGAAGAGTAGCGTCGTTTGACTGTTTGAGGCGGCCTCTTAAATGTTACTCCGTATTGTTATTATTTATGAATTAATATTATATAATATAATTATATATACTATTACTATAGAAAAATTTGGGGGCCCCCAAAATTGTGGGGCCCTGTTCTAGCAACCCTAATGAACCTGCCAAAAAACGGGCCTGATATATATAGATTTAGGTTCATGTGAGAATATAATCTTAAGAGAGAAACAAGAACAGATATCAACCATTAGATCATCAAATTTAGTTAACGTACCGTGTACAAATGTATAGGGTGATTATGTCACTTACGATCTTTCTATGTTTAATACCAAGCCCCTTAATTAATGTCCAAACTTTGTAATCGGTAAGTTAATTTTCATGAGTGTACGTCAATTTGTTTTTTAATATATATACGGAGTATCTTTTTAGGTAAGTTTTATCCACTTTTATTTTATTGGTCCTTATATTATTCTTTAGTTATTTTTTGTTAATTTTCCATCATCTTTAGTATATATTTCTATGCACTTTTGATACATGGAGTGTTTTTTAGTTTTATGACAACCCATGTAAAATATGTCATCTCAATCTAGTGTATTCATCAGATATCTTGAATTGCATTAATTTGATTCTGTACGTATCTCAATCAAATTATGCACTTTAAATATCAATAAATGAATATAAAACTCAAATGATGAATACGCCAAACACATCTTTATATATGAAAAACTCATCAAAATAAATCACCATCTTTTTGTGAATATTTATTATATATGAATTGAATAGGGCATAATATATATGTTTAAAGTGCACGACACACTTATTAATGTATAGTGCAAAATGAATAAAAGTGCACTTGACTTTTTTTATTGACTGCACTTAAAGATTTCGAGTGGCATAACATATAAAAATTATGCACTTTTGTATAAGCTTATGTTTTTGCATTTTATATTAAATTAACATGCACAATTCTAGATTGTGTTATGCATACTAATAACCATTAACCTGATGTGCAAATGTAAACTATATCTTGTGCATATAGTCATAATAAATAATTACTCTAATCTCTTATGTACAATATTCGACACCATAGTTACTTTCCAATACACTTTACTTATTGTATATTATTTAGTTGGTCGAATTTGCACATTTCACCTATATGTAATGCACATAACACCTAACCTAATAATTTATGGGCATGCACTTTATCAGGAATGTGTTACACTTTTATATATTACGTATTACACATTTCATCTAAAGAAAATAATATAAAATTACTTTCTTATATTATGTTTACATGATTCAACATACTTATTTTACATATTTACTTAAGCATATATATTAGCACACCTCAACTATCTTTAATGCACATTACTTGTAGATAATATTTTGTACACGTGCACTTTACCATAAATGTGTCGCACTTTTCACTGATTCATAAAAAAATTACTCAATTGGGAATTTCTATTCACGTAGAAAAGCATGTGTCTAGAAAATGATAATTTTTTAATGGAAACTAATTTAAGTGTTAAGAGTTTATGATGTATTGCATTTAATGATGTGATGTGGGTCTTTGAAAAACTCTCGTGTAACGTAGTAAATTAGCAAATGAGTTTTTTTAGGGAAGAAGTTAATGTTTTGAAACGGAAGAAATGAGCAATTTACTTAAGTATGCTTATCATTAATGCAACGAGTGTCAACATAAAATATGCCCTTGAAAGTCCTACTTATTTACAAAATTACTACACTATTTTCTTATAATAGATGGGTAGATTTCATTATTATTGAGTTGGACAAGAGTATGACTTTGGAGAGAGGAAAGTGGAGGGCGCACATTCGTGTGGACGAGTGATCTATTTTCTATCTTTCCTCTCTCGTTTTCTTTTATCGTTTATCTTCATTATCTTTTTATGTTCTTATGTTATTTGTATGTTCTATCTTTTTTATTCTCTTTTATTTTTTATTTTTTATCTTTCTTATATTCTTATGTTATTGTTATCTTATATTTATCATTATTTTATCAATTTTATCTTACTCCCCCCGATCTCTCTTCTCTTTTTAGCATTGATATCATGGATCGATTCATATTAGTAGATCCCAAATTCTTTTAGGATTAAGGTTTGAATGTTGTTGTTGGTGTATCCGTAGTCTTTATAGCACATATGGTGAGATGGATGAAGAGAGGTATTATAAAATAAATATTTCCACTACTAGATGGAAAATATTTAGAAACTTTAAGAGTCTATTTGGTAACCTTGTTGTTCTGCTTATCAGACTTATCACCCAGCTTTTTTACAAAACACGTAATTTTCTATTTCGCGCGTTGAGTTGTTTAAAATAAGAAACAAGTTGGAATTACTTCTCCGGTTGTATTGGTTGAAATTATTATAGAGGATAATTGTATCTATTTTTTCATTTTTTTCTTTACTTAATTACAAAATATATTTTATACAAAGTATGCAATTTTTTTTCCAGAAATCGCAGAATAAGCCAATCCATCCACTTCAACAAGAGCTTCATAAATTTCAGCAGAATCAATCAATACAATCGATTCGGATATTATCAAACGGGCTCTAAAACACAACAAAGTTCAAACCTAGACACATTTTATTATTCATAAAAAGTGAAACAATTTTTCATAATAATTATGTATATCAAGTACCCGTGAGATGATAAAAAGTAATGTATACAATAATAAGTCACTAAATAATACTCCCTCCGTCCCGGTCATTTCTTCCGGTTTTGACCGGTATCGCAAATTTAGGTAGTGAGAATAAAGTGAAAATGTATGGTTGTAGTTGTGTAAGAAAAAAGTGAATGAATGTGAACCACATATTTTTTCCAAAAGTGGAAGTTGGAAGAATTAATTGGGACGGCCCAAAAAGGAAAATTGGAAGAAATGACCGGGACGGAGGTAGTATTACATTGAATATAATATTAATTGTTACCATCTTCAACTCTGTATTGATTATTTTCAAAAATAAATTAATTTAATCTGTTGTTCGTGTATACATAATTAATGAAGTAGAAAAGTATAAAGATTTGTAGATCTATACATAAGAACACCAAGTGCGACATAACTAATGCCGAGTAGGGATGGGCAAACGAAGACATCAACCACGGGTCAGGCCGGGATGTCGGGTAATACGGGTTTAAGGCGGGTTCTAATTTTGAAAAACTCAAACGGGGCGTGTTTGGGAGGGTCCTAAAAATGCTAGCTAGGAACCGTACGT